CAGGGTCCTGTCCTCCTGGCCGGGCACTGCTGGCTCCCCCCGCACCTGCCACCTGCCGGGTCCTGTCCTCCTGGCCGGACACTGCTGGCTCTCCCCGCACCTGCCACCTGCCATGTGTATAGGTGCTGCGCTCCAAGCTGAGCCCCGCGACCCCCGTTGAAATGAGTTTGACCCCTGAACTGCTTCAGGCGAGTGAAACTATTGGGGAGCGGAGAGTGAGTATAGAAGTTGAATTCCTTCCTCATCTTCAGGATTTACTCAAAGGCCAGGACCACCCGGTTACTGTCAGGGGCCGCCTGAGGCCACCCTCACTGAAATACCAGCCCACCCCCTCCCAGACTCCACCCTCACGTCCCGTTTAGTTTTCTCCCCAGCAGCTACTGTCCCGCACGATAGGGCTCTTTGTCACGTGTTATCTTGTTCATCACCCGCCTCCCTCCAATCAGAGCCCCAGAAGGCAGCTATTTTTGTCCCCAGGGCTCAGAGCTGCTTCATGGGACATGGGTGCCCCCTGGAAGGGGGCATGGCTGGGTGATACCATCCTCTTCAGTTAGGACCACCCCCAGAGAGGGCTGTCTTGGGGTGGCACTCCACACCCTATCCGGGGTCCATCTAGACCCGGAAGGGGTTAGTTCTAATCTACACCTAGGACGTCCAACTCGGACGTTAGCCAACATTTACTTAACCAGCCACATCCAGAGACAGGTTTGCTCACAGCACCGGATTTGGTTGGGGTGGGAGGGAGTCGGGTGGGGGTGTATGTGTGGCAGGGTTTGGTCTACAGCTTGCTTTCATTGCAAGCTGACGGGATGGGCTCAAGCCTTGCCTTTATGTTCTCTGTATTCCTTTCTCCCCCACCCACAGCTAGTCCTGGGGGCGAGGGAACTGGTTCTGGGCCACTGATTTTCCCCATTTTAACTTGGGTGTGAGTTTTTGAACTCAAGAGCCAAGCATTTTACTGCCTCTAATCTCTGGTTTCTCTGAAACTAGCCTGCATTCCCTCCTCTGTTTTGGGAGTCCCTACATCAACTGTGTGGTCAGGCAGACACTACCTGGCCCAAGTGGATTCACAGGGTAGTCCTGCCCCCAGTCCCCATTAAAATAGGAATATTGCCGGTGTTAGATAAAAGCAGAAACACTTTAGTGTGCATTTATTGACTCTGACACTTTCCTCTCAACGGAGAGAGACGCCCGGGGGTGGGTGAGGTGGGCAGAGGCTCGAGTGAGGGAAGGGAGCAGACGTGGGAGGCAGAGGAGGTGTAGTTGCCTTTGTCTACTTCCCATTTCCCCCCAGGACGCGGGCCCTGACCAGAACAGCAGCTGTCACTGTGGTCTTAAGGGCTGGGGGGAGCATGAGTGGGAGAGGTGGGAATTGGAAGGAGCGGACAGCTGTGTCAGGAGCTGGGCTTGTGTGTGTGTGTAGCTTTGCCCGGGCATCCTGGGGCCTTCGCGTGGCCTCTGTCAACCTCACGGCCAGCCTCCTTGTGCTCCAGGCACTCGCTGGCTCCTTGGGGCCAGTCCAGGGCAGCCTGGCCTTGCTCCGGCCACCGGTGTGAGTATTTGGACTGGTGGGTAGTGTGTCCTTCCTCGTGGGCCAGCAGCTCTTGGACTCAGCGCGTCCACTGCCCCTTTGGGCTCACTGGACAATGCCGGAGAACGTGTTGATGGGCATGAGAAGGGGCTTGGGCTTGGCTCTGGTCCCTTCCACCTCCTTCTGGTGGTGTGAACTGAGCCATAGTGCCTTAGACTTCTGGGCCCCGGAACATGGCTCTGGGCAGGGGGCAACCTCGAATCTGTGAGTGGAGAGAGACCAGCTCAGGAGACCCATCTCAGGGTTCAAATCTCAGGGGTTAAAGTGTATAGAGGAGGGGGCCCCATAGAGGGAGGAGGACGCATCAGGAGAAGAAAGAGCCCCCTGGCCGAGGGTGAACACTGGGAGAGGAGAACATGGCTGGATGGGTCACTGTGTCTGCCGCCCTTACCCAACAAGGGTCACAGGAACTGGGCACAGCTGCCACCGTAGGGCAGCTTGTGTTGCAGGGGGCAGTGCCAGTACCGGGCATTGGATCGGGAGGGCTGCAGCTGCAGGTTCATGCCAATCTCGGCTACTCGGGGTCAGCCGTGCATTTGCCCTTCTTCCAGGATTCAAGTCACAGGGCAGTGGCCCAAGTTCACACCCACCAGGAACACCTGCCTGGCCTCAGGATCTGCCTCTGGCGAGGCTGGAGGTGGGGGCTGGGAGGGGCTGGCTTCTGCTAGGTTTGCCCAATGGGGCACGCAGCCCAGGAGGTGGCTGGCCCGGCCTCACCTGACCACATCCCTGAAAGTGCGCCGATGGTCCTTGTCCAGCCACAGGGTCAGCAGCCTCTGGTCCTGGCTCTGGATCTGGACGTTGGCCGCACGGAAGGTGTTCGTCACTGTCTGCAACAAAGAGACAGCTCCGGCATCGCCTCTGTGGCAGGGGGCCCTGCCGACGTCTCCTCCCCTGAAGGCGGGTGTGTTTCCTCCGTCCAGCACACGGTCCTGGTTCTTTTCCTGCAAGTGACCCGGCCGGGCAGTCCTGCAGGCTGCTCTGGTCCCTGCGGGCCTCGGGGTTTCTGCAGTCCTTCTCCCAACCTGCCATCCGTAATTCAGAACACAGCCCGGGCTGCTGGAGGCCGGTGCCTGCCAGGTTATGAAGTGGCCTGAGTGCTCCCATATGACAGGCAGGCTATGGGTGGAATTTCCTAAGTCCTGACCCCCACCAAGTTCCATGTTGGATTACATACAAAATTATTCACCTGGGACAGAGACAGGGCGTCTAGAAAGAGGCCACCACCCCCCTACCCCCCAGGGCTCAGATTAGGCCTCCTCACTTTGTGCCCTGGAATTGTCTGGGGGCCAGATCTGGGCAGAAAAAATCCACCCTCTGCACAGGGAACTTGGGCCCAGGTGTCAGCCTTCCGTGCCCCAAAGCCGTACGTGGCTTCTCTAGACAGTACCCAGGGCCCAAGGAAAGCACCTCCCTAACCTCCAAGCTCAGGGGGCCTCTCGGAGAGGACCTCCCTCGCCCCAGGCAGGGAATTGGAGCTGCCTGGGCTGCAGGTGGGACTTCAGAGGCCTTTGCAGTCACTGGCCCAACCCACCTGCAGATTTGGGTGGCCCCCCACCACAGAACACTGGAGTGCTAGAGCCGGGGACACTTGCCCCGGTGTTCTCAACCCTGGCTGCTCGTAAGAGTCATCTTTCAAAACATAAAATTAGAGATTCTGACTTAAATGGTCTAGAGTCCAGCCAGGCGTGATTTTGTGTTAGGGGGAGAGAGAGAGAGAGAGAGAGAGAGAGAGAGAGAGACAGAGAGAGAGAGAAAGAGAGAAAGAGAGAGAGAGACAGAGAGAGACAGAGAGAGACAGAAAGAGAGAGAGGTATGTACCCTGACTGGGGATCGAACCCTTTGGTGTACCAGATGATGCTCCAACCAACTGAGCCTCCCAGCCAGGGCCAGGCATGAGCATTTTAAAATAAGCTCCCATTGTAGGCATGGCTGGGAACCACTGAGCTAAGCTACCTCTGCATTGTCACAGAGCAGAGGCACCAGCAGCAGCCTAAACAGGGCTGGGGGGCTGGGGTGTCAAGCATGTCCTGGCATCGCTGCTGCAGTTTTGGGGGCTGGGGTAGGCCAGCCAGGAATCCATGGGCAGAGCGTACAAGAGTCTCACAGGAGGAGGGGCAAAGCCCAGACTCTACAGCCAGGCACCCGGGCCTGGCTCTGCCCCGTATCAGCTGTGTGACCTCGCACATATTTCTTAATCTCTCTGTGCTTTTGTGTCTCACCTGTTTAGGAAAAATGTGGTAATAATAGCAGCCACTTTGTAGGTGTGGAGATGAAAAGACAGCATATGTTAAGCTCCTGGGACATGACAAGCACTGAATTCATGTTGGCTGTTTATTGATGATAATTTTTCAAGAAGGAGCTGGCATAAGTGATGGCCTCTGCTGTCAGGGTAGAAAGGAACAAACCCGCTGTGGGTCCTTTCACTCCTCAGCCTGTCTCCTGGCCGCGGCCCCCTTCTACCACCACCCTATAGACTAGGCCACAGGGGATTTCTCCTTCTAGGATGGAAAAGACGTGAGCATGTTTATAGGCTAAGAGAACAGAGCAGTAGAGAGCAGGGATCGGGGAGGCGGTGTCAACACTGGAGGAAACAAATGGAGCGGTGCCCAGAGGAGATGGAAGAGAAATGGGTTAAATGATGCCAAGGCTCCATTGAGGTGGAAGGTCATGAGTGTGCTGTGGCCCTAGTCTATGTGGATGTAAGGATTTAGTCCAGAAACACTCAGCCACATGAGCGTACAAACTGAGGAGGAGGCTGGATCCAAAGGATGTGCCTGGTAGTTGAGGGTGTCTAAGAACATGGTCAGGGGAATCATGGGATCCAAGGCCCAGCTAAGTAGGGAGGAGAAGCCGGGAGAGGCCATCAGGCAGGGAGAAGGTGGGTGAGTCTGTATCAATGGGGAATCCACATCAAGAAGTATGAATAAGGGCCAAGGGCAATGAGGCTGAAAGAGCTGTTTGGATTTGGTCAAAGGCCGGGCTATAGTGTTAGGAGTCTGGCAGTTGTGCAGTACAGGGGATGCCAGAATGTGTATTTTGTAGTTACCTCCATGCGTCTTAGGTCTTCAGAGAGCCAGCAGGTGGGGGACAAGGCCTTCACTCTTATGATGCCTTATTTATGCCAGTTCATGCTCAATGTTTCAAACCAACTGATTGGAAAGCAGATTCTTTCTGATAGGACGACCCATTTCCATAGCAAAGGCGCAGAAAGGCTCACAAGTCCTTCCTCTGAACACCCATCCCCCTGCGCTCCCAGCCACCTGCCCTATTTGAACATCCCCAGTTCCCATTCTCCCCAGTACTCACAGAGAAGGACCTTCCTGCCAAGTTGGACGACTTGACAACTTCCGTCACGTTAACACTCAGGCACGTGTGGTCTGTAAGGGGAGACACATTTTGGGGGGGAGTGGGGGGGATTTGAAACGGGAATGAATTGGGGGGCAGCTATGAATGGGCCTTCAGGGAAGTAGGACAGTTTGAGAGCCTAGGTCCTAAGAAGACTCCCCCTCCCCACATGAACGTCCTCCCACATTCTGCTTGGTCCCTCCTGACTCCACCTGGGTCCTAGCCACGTTTCTGTTCCTTCCTGATTCTGTTATCTATTTCCCTCCCCCGGTGAATCCACAAGCTTCCGCATCCTCAGGCAGAACAGCCAACCCAGACCCCTCTCTTCATCCCCGCGCACCCCGTTTTCAATGGGAGAAGGTTCTGTTGAGCTTCCTCGCAGCTCCTGGGAAGGACCCTGGCCCAGGATGTGTGTGCAACAAAGCACCACGGAGAGGGAGGAGCGCAGCACTCCCGAGGCTGAGGGCCTTCCCTGGGCTTCGGAATGGTGTCTACTGTGTCCAAACCATCGTGTGGCTGCTCCCCGGCTCCCCGGCTCCCCGGCTCCCCGGCTCCCCGGCTCCCTGCTAAGGAGGGTTCTTAGATGTCTATGCCTGAGGCGGGTCTGGCCTCAGTTCTGACAGGGTTTTGTGATGGAAGACTTGGCGAAGCACAAGTTAGAGTGGGGGTGGGCAGTGCGAATCTTGAGAAGAAATACAAAGTTAACAAGAAGTTAAGATTGTCACTTACTCCATGTAATAAATTAGTGTCTTATCTCCATTTTAGAAGTGAAAGAACGGGGAGAGAGGCCGCAAGTAACTCGCCCAGATCACACGGCGGTAAGTGACAAAGCTGGCTTGAAGCCTGCCCTTCCGGTCCTAGAATCTGTGCTCTCCACCCACCCTACCTCACCTCTCGGTTAGAGCTATTGCCAAAGTCACACGTCCCCTTCACGGTGGGCATCAAAGACCTACAGGCAGAGGATGTCACGTGCCCTGGCCAGTAGCTCCGATACACCGCCAATGTCTGGCTGTGATAGGGTTTCATGTCATCCACAAATTCAACCCGCCTGGAAGCCATTTTATCAGGAAGTGATCAAATCAACAGATTATTTCTTGAGTGTCCTCTTTGTGACAGATGCCAAGACAATTTAGGAATGCTGATGCCCTTAAATAAATGCAAATGCTGTACAGGACAGATGCCGTAACTGGAAAGCTAGCAAAGCCGCGCTCATCGTTGGACAGGAGAGGAGGGAGGGAGCCAAGGCATACTCCTCAGAGGCGTCCAGGCTGGCTAATGTGTACGTTCAGTCTGTGTTTCTTCTGGAACATTCCAGATTCATTCATTCTTTTTTTAAAAAAATATATATGTTATTAATTTCAGAGAGGAAGAGAGAGATAGAAACATCAAGAGAGAATCATTGATCGGCTGCCTCCTACACACCCCGTATTGGGGATCGAGCCCGAAACCCAGGCATGTGCCCTTGATCGGAATTGAACCCAGGACCCCTCAGTCCGCAGGCAGATGCTCTATCCGCTGAGCCAAAACAGCTAGGGCTCATTCATTCTTTTTAAAATAAATTTTCGGGTGTAAAGTAGCACTTCCTTTATTCACTAAATGTTTACTGAGTACCTACTATGTGCCAGGACGTGTGCTAGGCAGTGAGCAAGATACAGTTCTGCCTGGTAAACTCTGTTTGCTCTGGAACAATTTTCCACAAGCATCTGTGGCTGACAGCCTGTACGTCTGGCCTGCTGAGGTTTGGAGGTTGCAGAGGAAGAGTGAGGAGCCGAGGTGAGGAATACTGGCTCTTGTGTAAGATGTGACCTTGGGCAAGTTATTTCATTTTCTTCAGTTTCCTCTCCCGTAAAAAGTGGCTAATACGAATAATGCCTATGTCATCAGGTTGATATGCTTACAGGAGTGGATATGTTTGACATAGAACATAACGGCCTCTGAGCAATGTGCGTGGTGGTTAGGAATCCACATCACCACCCTTTCATTATTCCAGAGGCCAGGGCGCTCACAGGAACAGCTCCCATCTCTAATCTATGCATGTAATTATATGCACATAACCTGGTGTCTTCTAGGATCTCAATTTTAGATTTAGATAATGAGATAATGATCTTAGTATCAATAGATCTCTGTCATTCTATAATTAGTTAGTAGATACTTTGGATTGGTAGTGCCCTGTGTGACCTGGAGGGTCCCTGCCCAATGGAACAGAATTCAAATAAAAATCCCCAAATGAAACTCTAGCCCTGCAGCCCAGGTGCCGAGGAGGAGCTGCTGTAGCCCCCCCTGAAGTCCCTCTGCCTTCATCAGGCCTAGACCCAGTGCTAGAGCGCAGCCACCAATCACTGCTCAGCATCTGACGGCGGGGCAGCCTGAGGAGGAGCTCAACCTGTTCAATGACCCCAGGGCTGGGTCGGAGGCCTCCCCGGGTCCTTCCCCTCCTGTCACTGCCCCCTCTATCCTCCGCCCTCTTGTCGCCCTCTTGTCCCTCCGCCCTCTCTCGGCTCTGCGTTCCCCGCTCCTCACCTTCAGTGTCACTGGCTGGAAGGGCCTTTAGGACCAGCCCGGTGGCTCTCAGGGAAATGGTAACCTCTCGGGTCCGGTGGCTGAGCAGGGCCTGGGGAGGGAGGTCAGGTATAGATGGCAGCCCTCACATCCTCACATCAGCAGTCTCACTCCCAGCCCCTGCCTCGAGTTTTTCCTGAGTCGCCACTGCCCAGTAAGGGGACCCGGAAAGGGCTTGGAGCACTGTCAGCCCCAGGGGCATGTGTAGCCTCTGTCTCCAGTGAGGAAGGGGACAGCCCCTCGTTCCTGAAATCAGGTCCCCTCCTGTCTACATGGGAGGCCGCTGGTAGCCCTCACATTCCTACAAAACTCTCTGAAGGCTGGGGCACAGCAGAGGGGGGGAGCAGCACTGACCTTCCCTCCCCACCACGCCCAGCACTGACCTTCCCTCCCCACCACGCCCAGCACTGACCTTCCCTCCCCACCACGCCCAGCACTGACCTTCCCTCCCCACCACGCCCAGCACTGACCTTCCCTCCCCACCACGCCCAGCACTGACCTTCCCTCCCCACCACGCCCAGCACTGACCTTCCCTCCCCACCACGCCCAGCACTGACCTTCCCTCCCCACCACGCCCAGCACTGACCTTCCCTCCCCACCACGCCCAGCACTGACCTTCCCTCCCCACCACGCCCAGCACTGACCTTCCCTCCCCACCACGCCCAGCACTGACCTTCCCTCCCCACCACGCCCAGCACTGACCTTCCCTCCCCACCACGCCCAGCACTGACCTTCCCTCCCCACCACGCCCAGCACTGACCTTCCCTCCCCACCACGCCCAGCACTGACCTTCCCTCCCCACCACGCCCAGCACTGACCTTCCCTCCCCACCACGCCCAGCACTGACCTTCCCTCCCCACCACGCCCGGCACTGACCTTCCCTCCCCACCACGCCCGGCACTGACCTTCCGGTAGCAAAGGGAGAGCTCTGCCCCGGGGGCCTCAGCCGCACCTCTCCTCCGGGGGGAGAAAGCCTCTGAGGAAGACGAGAAGAGGCTGAAGGTGGGAGGTCCTCCCCCAGCCCAGCTTCCCCACCGCCCTGAGCCTCAGGGGGGCCAGGCTGCCCTTCCATCCGGGTGAGCTTGGAGGGACCCAGGTCACCTCAGTATTCAGCCAGGTGGGGCAATGGGGCTTGGGGAGGCTGAGTCAGGGCGAGCTTTGGAAACGGGAGCAGATGCTCACCTTTGGGGAGTTTGGAGTCTTGGATCTTCACCTTCAGCTCAGTGAGGAAAATGTCCTCCACGGAGTCCTGGCTCAGGTCACCGAAGAAGATCTGGAGAGACGGGAGTAAGGGGTGAGGGGTGAGGGGGGAGGAGGTGGAGAAGGCTGGCTCCCTGCCAGAGGCAGCTCCCCCTGCAGCCCCAGAGCCTGAGGATGTGGGTGCTGGGAGCGTGTCCGGAAGCTGTCAGAGTCCCCCTGCCCCTCCTGCCGGTGCGGGGTTCCGAGTGGCATCCAGTGATGATCCGGATCTGACTCTGTCCATCACCTACACGTATATCATATCCCAGCAAATCATAGATTTATCATCAGTGGAGGAAAGTATGATTGAAACCCAAACTACTGGAACCAGCACTAATGTGGACGGCAGGAGCAGGGACACCGTGCACATGAGGGAGGGTAATCAAGTCTCTTGTAGACCCTGGCAGGGGAGGATGAAAGGGTGAGGGCCAGAACGGAGGACCCGGCAGTCCTCCATGTACACAGAGAAGCCTGGACTGTGGGAGCCAAGGGCTAGGGAGACCCTGAGGAAATTTGGGGGTGGGAGTGGCTCCTGAGGGAAGAGCAGAAGGGAGCGGCAGGAGGGAGGATGTTGGAACGACAGGGAAGAATAGCCACGGGATCCTCAAAAGAACAGGATGGAGAGAGGAAAAACGTGTCCGCCAGCAGCCAGGGGCTGGCCTGGCACTCAGGGCGCGGTCTCCATGTTCTGTTGACCATAAACAAGTTCACAGACGCCGACACTGTTAGGCAAGGCCACTCCGTGACTGTGATGGGCCAAGAAAGAAAGCCGACCCGCCACTGTCACGTCTGAACACAGGAAAGATGGGAAGACTGTGCAGGCCACAGCCCTCCCCTCCCCTCCCAGCAAACAGTGAGCGGCTGCTGTTCCTTCGCGCCAAAGAATAGCAGTTCAAGCCACTGAGATGCCCAGTCGTAGAGTCATTCCTGACAGCGTGTGATCCAGAGCCAAGTCACATGTTTCGGAGCCCTCTCCAAAGTCACCGGGCAGGAGGACAGGCGCTGTGAGTTCTAACAGTCTCCTCCTGAGATGCCTCCTGGTTCTCCAGGTGTGTGGCCCCCCTCACTAAGCAAGTCAGGAAACCCCTCTCTGTCCTGCGTTAGGTGTGCTCCTGGGGGGCCTTTGGCTGAGGGCAGTCGCAGCTGCGATGTTTACTCCCTGTACCAGGGCCTCTGAGAGTTTTTCCCCCCATTTGTCTCTTTTGTGTTGTTTCGGTTTGCAGTTTGAAAACCAAGGAAAAGTCCTGAATCCTTTATTTAGGTCAAAATCAAGGAGGCAATGAAGAAGAGATCTCCCCCGGGAAGCAGAGTGAAAACAAGAATCCCGTAAGCTAGAAGGACTTCCACAAGGAGCTAGAGGCGGAGGTGGCCATTGGAAACTAGCCTGCAGGCGCTCACAGAAATCCAGGACGAAACCCAGTAAGAAGATGACATTCACAGCCCGGGGTCTCCGGGTGGGTTTATGACGTTCACCCTGGTAACCTGTGTTTCCTCAGAGCCAGGTATCAGGGGTGGGGTCCTGGGGCCCAGCAGGCTGCCCCAGGTGGACAGCTTACCTTGACTGTGTAGAGCTGGAAATAGATGGGTTGGGTGCCCATGCGGACATAGTAGGTGATGACATCCAGGATGAAGGGGTCTACGGTCTGGGATGTGTCCAGGGAGGGAGGCTGTGAGGGAGACAGAGACAGTTTTCAACGACCTCCTTCCATGCTACACTGGGAGGTGCCACTTTCTTAATAGAGAAACCCCATAACCCCCAGCTATCTTCTGTGATGTACTAACCCAGCTGGCCCTTCAGCACAGTCCAAGCCTTTCCTACCACCCAACTTCCACTCTATTCAAAATATGCCTGTGCAGAACCCCATTTCCCCAGGGACTCGGGTTCATGGTAATTGCACCAAGACATACTTGGTACCCCGATGTGCAAAGCATTGTGCTGGGTGCTTGGGGTAGACAAGATGCTTGAGGATATAACTAGTCACGTAAGAGTCTGGACTGGGTTCTAGGTTTGCTCTCACATCACTAACCTGGGGCATGAGGAGTTGAACCAGAAGGTGATGTTTCCTTCAGTTCTGGTGGTATCTGAATATATTAATAAACTAACTATTTTTTGCATATTATTGGGAAGGGACTAGTGCAATGTCCTACAGCCCCCTCCCCCCCAGCCCCATATAATTCTAAAGCATAATAATTTGGTATTTTAGGTAAATAGAGCAGAATGTCTACATAGAATCTGAGAGTATCAGTGTTGGAAAGAAGCTCAGAGTTTATCTAACCCATCTGTGTGTGACCCTATGAGATCTCCTCTGATTCTCACATCTCATCTACTGAATACTGTTCCCTTCAAAAAGGTCATGCTGAAGAAGTAGGAACTTATTCTACTCATGCTGCATCACGCACTGTTTCCAGTCTCCCCGTGTGGAAACTGCTTTTGTAATAAATGTAAGGGTCATACAAATTGTTAATTATAAGGAGACGGAGAGCAGGAGAAAACCAAAATCTTATATGTGTCCTGGCAGGGGGGAAAACTACCAATAAAGGCACATAGTTTTGAGGAAAAGGTATTTTAATACCCAGCTGAATAGTCTTTGATGAATATGCAGACATTTTTAGATAGGCAATAATTCAGAAAACATGCCCCCCAAACATCTTTATTCAAATAAAAGATATAAGAAGGCACCCCAATCAATCAGGCACTAAAGCAAAATGGAGATCTCAGTAAAGTGACAAGTTTAAAAATAAATGCCTAAAAATCAGTAAGTCCCTTTTATACTAGCAGTAACACCATCCAAAAACAATGGGAGAAAGATACCATCCACAATTGCAAGAAAAAACTATTAAACATGAGGATAAATGAAGCAAGAAATGGGTCAAATCTATATGCTGAGAACTGTACAACTACCATGAGGGATATACAAGAAGACCCTAATAAATAGAGTTATACTTCAGTCTCAGAGACGGTGACTTAATATGCTAAAGATGCTAATTCTCCTCCAAAGTCCAATCAGAATCCCAAGGGAATTAAACATAAAACGAAGCCCCAGCCAGTGTGGCTCAGCTGGTTTGGTGTCGGCCCCGAGCACCCAAAGGTCGCAGGTTGGGTTCCCAGTCAGGGCACATGCCCAGGTTGATCCCTGGTAGGGAGCACACAGGAGGCAGCTGAGTGATGTTTTGCTCTCACATCAATATTTCTCTCTCTGTGTCCCTCTCCCTTAAAAAAAAAAATCAATAAAATTTTTAGAAAAATGAAAAAATTCTGAAACTTTTCTGGAAACAAACCTAAATAAGCACATTCTGAAAAGTTTTGAAAAAGGGAAGTAAGAGGGTAAGCTTACCCTGACAGCTATTAAAATATCAAAGTGCTAATTGGTACAGAACTGAATAGACCAATGAGAAAGAACAGGTATCCAGAAATAAACTCAAGCATATGTTAGAATTTAGTAAATGATGAAAGTGGCATTTCAGATGGATGGAGCAAGATGGTTTATGCAATTAATAGCTTAGGAAAACTGGCTAACCGTTTGGAAAAAATAACATTACACCCTCCACACTAAACACTGAATTTAATGGCAGATAGGTCATGTAAATGTAAAAGTGGAGATGCTCAAAGTATTAGGGTAAATTATCAGTGAAAATGTATTTAATCTTGGGTACAATTTAATCAGTAGAGAAATCCTTTCAACACATAAAAGTGCTATGTATGTCTACACAAATGTATTAAACTTTTGAAGATCAAAAGCTCTGTTGACATAATTGATAGGCAAATAATAAAGTGGAATAAAATGTCTGCAACACATATGATTGCAAAAAGGATAGAATTCTCTTAATATGTCAAGGCCTCTTCAAGTCAGCAAGAGATTAGCTTCTTCCCACTATCGGCCGCCAGGGGTGGGGGTGGCGCGGCGTAAGAGAATGTGCTCTTGATTCCATGAGGGACTCTACCACTCATTCGGTCACTTTGGGCAGGTTACCTAATCTCTCTGTGCCTCCGCTGCTTGAGCTGTAAAATGGGGCTGTGGAGACAATAGCACATGCCAATAGGAGTATCTACTTGGTAGGGATGCCCTGCGTTAAGTACTCAGAGCAGTGCCTGGCACATGGGCGGGCCCTGGAAGCATTCGCTATTATAACCACAGACAAAGCATTGCAGGAAACCCACAAGAGAAGGAGTGTCATTGGCCTACACACTCACGCAAGGATGCTTTCCTTCATCTTTTCCACTGTGGTTTTGTCCCAAGTACAGTCAGTAACCACGGGGATTGCTTCCGGGACCCCTGTGGGTACCAGCATCTGCGGATGCTCATACATCCCCTCTATAAAGTCACCTACCCACAACCTCCCGTGTACTTTAAGTCAGCTCTAGATTACTTCTGACACCTAATACAATGTGAATGCTATGTACGTCGCTGTCATACTGTATTATCTAGCGAACAATGACAAGAAACAAGAGTCCGTATGTGTTTAGGACAGAGGCAACTGTGGGCCGAGTACCCATGAGCAACAGTGTAACCTGGTTTTCCTGAGTGTTTTCCATCCGGGCTGGTTGAATCGGCAGAGGCAGAACCCGTGGATAAGGACTGTGGTAAGGTTTCTCTCCACTCGCTGGTTAGGGTTCCCTCCTGTATTGCTCTCCTGCCTCCTCCAACCATGGATCCCCCGGGAGGGTCCCCTGAACTGACTCTTTAGGTCAAGGGTCAAGAGTCACATCGGAAATGGCCCCCTCCCGCCTCCCTCCGCCCTGCTGCCCTCACCGCCCCTACCATCTCCGCCAGCTTCTGGATGGCCGGGCACAAGGTGTTGACGGTGCTCTCGTACCAGGGGTCCGCCCGGCCCAGGAACGCCGCCAGCTCTCCGAGCTCCAAGTGCCAGGATGATGCGCGCTTCTGAGGACAAAGGGAGGAGGCGGACCATCAGGCCTTGTCT